TTGTTTGGCTCTGTAAACAAATTCAGCATACCGATCGTCTTCTTCATCCAAATCAACCTCTTTTCCATCTTCTTTGTCGTGAACTTCTCAAATCAATTTGGAAATCAAATTGGTGGCGTTGAAAAGAAAATTCAAATACTTTTAATATAATAGGTTATCGGTCATGTTATTCTTTATATTGTAAGAGATATGATCGTTTGAATATGATTTAATGGAAAAAGAAAAAGAAGTCACATCAATATATAGGCAAAAATCTATCCTAATCATGGCTAAAGTACAATGTTCTGTTCCTTTTCAACTTCATTTTTCTTTTTAAATAAATACCAAGTAAAGGTTTTCGACATAGCAGTGGTGGCTCAAATTAATTAGTGGCCTAAAGCCAAAAATAAATCCTAGCTTTTATTATTATTATTATTATTATTGAAATCCAAATTTATTTCTTCTTTTTAATGAAAAAGCTTTATTTTTTCTATGGTCTTAAACTTATAATATATCAAGATATTTTTTAATCTTGTGATTTTAAACATGTCATGTGGATGTTAAATTTAAAAATTGACAAAAAAGATTAATGTTTCGAAACGAACTAAAACAAAGACATAATATAATTTATTTATTTTCTAAAGAATACCTAATTAGAGAAGCAGTAAGAAGGCAGAAGTAATGCCGATTGCAGTTGTTGGTTTTTGGGTAGACCGGGGGAGTACCGGTTTGTTAGTTAGGTCAGTAATAGCTGATATAAATTGCTAAGCAGGTGATTAGACATTTTTTTGGTATTTCTTTATCCATTAATGTGAAATGATCATGTAGCTTAACCACCCTTATTGCTTTTACTGCAGATTTGCAATGCAGTAGTCATTGCTGCGCTATTGAATGCCACATTACTTATTCCTCGTCTGGAGTTTCACAATGCCTGGAGGGATTCGAGGCAAGTTTCCACATCAGTAGTTACTAGTGTGTTAATCCTACCAAGTAATGGTTGAAAATGTACACATCTTTTATCGCCTTTCCTATCTGATCTCAAGGTTCTATACTTTCTGAAATTACACATTTTACGATCTCAAGGACATCCTTATATGATGAAAGGATGTGCCAGACGGAAGAAGTGCATTGTTGTGTTGGATTAAGAAAGGTTTCCTATATTGCTTTCTTATTGAACTCTTCTTTCACATTCTTTGCCTTTCTGTATTTCTAACCAAGCACACCTAACTGCTAAAATGAAATAGGTGTAGGGTGATTGAAGAATATTCCTTTCCATTGACTAGTGTAGGTTCCGTCTCTACGTGCTTCATTCTTGTGCAAGGTTTCTCATGTTAAATCACTATTTCACGTTTGAATAACACCAATAATCACATCCAGTTGAACTTCTGTATTCACAAAGGTTATGTTTGTTGTTTCTGTTTTTGTCACAAAGCAGTGAATTTGGTGATATTTATGATGAAGACCATTTCATGTCCACCCTTAAAGATTATATAGAAGTGGTCAAAGAACTACCAACGGAACTGATGGAGAGATATGATTCTAATATCAGCAATATTCAGAATTTGCGAGTTCAAGCTTGGGCACCTCCAAGATATTACCTGGAAGAGGTTTATCCTGTCTTATTTAAGCAGCGGTATGCAATTTTTTGTTTTTTCAATTTTTAGTGGATGGCATTTCTTTCCTAATAGTTAAGAGCTGGCGTTGACATTAATATCACATTATTTTGTTACTTATGCAGACCTAATTTATTTGTACTCACTGGTTAGTTTATCATGCAGGGTTGTTCGTATTTCCCCCTTCGCTAATAGATTGTCAATGCATCTTCCATCTCATCTTCAGTTCCTGAGATGCTTTTCCAATTATGAAGCTTTGAAGTTCTCCTTAGCCATATCAGAACTTGCAAAGAAGTTGGTCAAGCGCATGATTGAGAGGAGCTCTAACTATGGTGGGAAGTATATTTCTGTCCACCTTCGCTTTGAGGAGGTACACTCTCTCTTCCTAGTAGTTCTACTTGCATAGGATTTTCTGGAGGTCCAGTGAATCTGTTGATCTTAAATCTAATGATGAAAAATCCATCTTATATGTGAAGGACATGGTAGCCTTTTCGTGTTGTAGTTATGATGGAGGACAGGTTGAAAAGTCAGAAATGGATGTAGTACGTGAGAAAGGATGGGGAAAGAAGTTCAAACAGAAATATCGTGTTATTGCACCTGGCCTCAACCGTAAAAATGGAAAATGTCCTATGACCCCTGTAGAGGTTAGACTTTATTTAGCTGTTTTCCTTTAAATAAAACTTGGATTTTCATCTGGAGAAGAAAATGAATTTATCAGCGTTATACTACCTAAGTGACATCCTGATGTATCTGAATTTATTCGTTGTAGGCTTGTAGCTACTCTTTTGTTTCATATATTTTTCTTTGTCAGGATAGGTTGGCATGATGCTTAGGGGTATGGGATTTGCCAAAGACACTCCTATATATTTGGCTTCTGGGAAGATTTACCAGGCAGATAGATATCTAGCACCTCTGCGGAAGATGTTTCCACTCCTACAAACCAAGGAGACTTTGGCAACCAAAGATGAGCTTGCTCCATTTGAGGTATATGTTGATGACAAGCCATTTCTTAAAGAAATAGTGTGTTGTACATCTAGACATGATTGATCGCCTGTCAATAATACCATCAAATGGACTAGATATTGGACCAACTGAGAAATGGATGTTGTCCTCTGTCTATTTTAGCTTGAACTGAACCTAAGTTTCTCGGATAAGTATTTTTTATTTTTTTGTTTTACAGGGTTATTCATCAAGACTAGCTGCTGTGGACTACCTAGTATGCTTGTTTAGTGAGGTATTTGTAACCACTCAAGGGGGAAACTTCCCTCATTTTTTGATCGGTCATAGAAGGTACCTTTTCAATGGACATGCCAAGACTATCAAACCTGATAAAATCAAGCTTGTAACTTTATTGCAGAACACAAGTACAAGGTGAGATCCTTTTCTTATAGCTCTCGTCTATGTTCTTCTCTTTCTGCTTCTCATATAACTGAAAACAAATTCGAGCTTTCTTTGCCTGTAAGCATTATACTTCTATAGGTAGAATTTGATGTGATTTCATGAAAGCCTCACTTCTTGATCTCAAAGGTAGCACTATATGTATTTGAGTCAACTTTTTTGCTCATGAATCATGATATTATCTAGTCGTGAATAATCTAACTAACCTGCATGCAAAAAGTAAATATCAAAAGAAATGGAATGAACCTGCCCCTAAAATTTATCATTTCAGAATGTTTCCGAGGCTGAATCTACCTTAATTTTGGAACACGGCTGTTAGAATAGGAGTAGGAACAAGAATAGTACATAGAATCCTACTTGGAAAAGGATTGTACTATAGTGTATGTGTTTGTGTAATAATGTAGATACAAAAATTCAACAGTACTCTTCTCCAATATTTCTCACATGGTATCAGAGTGTCTACTATCCTGTTAGAGAATCAAAGAATCAATGCCTCTTTGTTTTTTCTCAATTGTTTTTTGTTTTCCTTAAACTGCTAAACAGCTGGATTGATTTCAAGGATCAAATGGGATCAATGCTGGCTGAAAGTGATAGGAAGGGCATAATGGTACCTAGAGCTAAGAAGTCCACCAGAAAAGGTTCTATCTATTCGAATCCTTTGCCTGAATGCAGGTGCCTTTGGGAGTCAAAAAGAACTACCAACCGTAGTAATTCATACCTCATGGTAGATCACTGAGATTGTTCGATAGTTCTAAGTTTCTCTGATTTGAGCAAGCCGAAGTTGATCAATTAAGTTGGGATCCTTTTGCAAACACCAGACTTTATGTGTCAATGGGGAGTGGTAGAATAGATCCATAGTTGCAAGTCCAACGTTGATTACAGGAATCGAAGATCATCGTTAAAGCATCTCGAGATTTGCCTTAGCCGGCGAGGCAGGACATTTGATCTTATATGTAGTTGATATCAGTACCCTTTGTAGTACCTAAACTTCCACTTACTATATAGTAGTAGAAATTTTTTTGTTCTTTCTCTTTTCTTCTTAGGATTTGTTACTGCCTTTACATTTCTTCTGGAAATTTGTGCTCGTCTAGTCTACCAGTTGTAATGCTACAAGATATTTACTGATTAAATTTCAAGATTTATTGTGCCAGGTGTTTCTACCTTAGCAAGTATCTTAAGGTTTTTTGTAGCTTTATATAGTATTTGGACTGAGATGAGCTTAAGTAGAGCGACAGGAACAGTAAATTCTAAAGTTTAAGAAATGAATAATGTAAAACGTACAGTTTACGGCCTGTGTAGTTCGATGCAAAATACAAGCAAGTACAAAGTATACTGAAGTTGAAATGAGAATAATCAGTCATTCTGCCTTGAACCATTGCACATAAGTTTCCTGGATACTGATAAGTTCGATATGAAATGACCAGGACTTGAGACTCAAAATTTAAAATGAAAATAACTACGGCTACTTTTTGGTTTCCATTTTCCACATATTTAAACATTAATTTAAATAAGATGAATGAATCTATATCCTAAACTCGTTATTGATGACTTACAAGTTACAATCAACAACTCCTTCTGTCCTAATTTAAGCGCTAAGAAATAAAGGGAGTTTTTTGAATCTCAAATATAATGTCCACACTAACATGAGTTGAAACAAAAAAAATTGCTTCTACCCTGTCATAGCATCGGCCTAATTTTTTTTTGGGTTTTCTCATCACTTGATAACATTTTAACAGTGAAAATTATTGAGAATTTGTCATGGCATTTGTTCGAAAATACTAAAAATAAAATTCGCAAACAAAAAAAAAATTGACTTTACAAAATTCTATTTGTTCAAACCATTTTTGTGAAAGGGTTGACCTTTTTTCCTAAAGTAAATTTAGCTCAAACAAATGCTTTAACTGAGTCACTTGACATAAACCATGCAGATTCCAAAGAACTAATTAGATTTGGCTAGGCCAGATGGATGATATGAGGCTTACCTAATTTGTTTTCCTCAGCTGTGGGTATTTACATAAACAACAAGAAAATACAAATTCGAGATTCACGTGCAATAATTTGCATTAGGCTCTTCAAAATGTTTGCATGACGATTATTTAAACTAGGTTAGTAAATAGGGTAAGCTCAGGAAAACAATGGATTGTCTAAAGAAAGACACTATAACGTGTATTGTAAAGGGAACCAAAACAGAAAACATCCTCAGTGTTCCTGGTTTTCTTCATACGCGCTATAACATTGTCCAGGATGAATCAAGGTGTCATCATTGAACCAGAAAAACAGACTGGCAAGAAGAGGCCACCAAAGCAGCAGTATAATACCTCACCATTAAAGAAACCACCTGGAAAGGAACAAAAGAGCCACAATGAACATTGAACGAAGAAAAAAAAAAGCAAAAGATAAGAATTTTTTTGGACCAGATAAAGGGGACAATTTCCAGAGGATCTGGTAGATAGAAAAAAACAGTGCTCACTTTGAGGAAGCAAAAAGAGCATCAGCCTTAAACCCCGCAATACTACACAGCCATATAATACATGTTCTACAAAAGCTTCAGATTGTTAACATAGTTCAAACAAACAAACAATACCTCAATTCAGTAATACGAGCAAATCACATAACAAGAGCAGAGATTAGGTCTTTATTTCGGCAGTCTATGCAAGTGTTCATGAAAAAGATTGGGCCTCTTCTATGATTGAATTCTCAATATCCCAACCATTAAGATCTAGCCAATAGCTAGTATGAAAACATTTCTTAGTAAATTATAAAAAAAAAATCACTAAGTAAATAAATCTTGATCACCACCAGAAGCAAGACCAATTCCCCCACCACCACCACATACACAAACTAGGGAAACTTTAATACTGCACAGCAACAGCACGTTGGCTGAAAATACAATAATTAAGTATAAAATTAACCTGGCACATATTGTATGCAAGTATGTCCTATTTCATTGAGGGATTTATTAGTTCAATAAAGGTTAAGGTTTTTAATACAATGGGGCTTCACAAAATGTAATAAATCAGATGCAAATCTTGTTTAGCACACAAAACCAAGAAAAAATCAGGAAGTAGAACCTGACTCATCAAAGAACCTTGAGAGACTGGTGCAATAGCCTTTCAACATATAATACAAGGTTACATCATTCTAATGTTTCATCATTTCAAAAACACTAAATAATAAATCATCTAACTTTCTCAATAATCACCACATACTAAACATGGCACATTCACAACAATCCTCACTGAACACTCCCCAAACCTTCATTACTTTCCCCTTTTTTAGCCCTTATCTGCCAAAAATAGACATCTTGAACCTGATCCCGTTTGGTGATTAAATACTGGAAAACTAATTCTGGTATTGCGGGATAGCAAAGAGAAGGCCAGTAAGTATTCTAATTTCTATAAGCCTGTCTGCACCAGAAACCTTCTTGTCCTCAGTTCAGGCAGCACTACAACAGCTATGGATTAGCCATTAACCTGACTGTTACTTTTCCACAAGCTATCATTCTTTACAAATCTTCATAATACACCAAAAGTTAGCGAAAAGGTCTATTTACCTACTCAGTATGCTCACAGACACCTGTACTGGTTACTTATCCATACCCACAGTTCATGTAACATTGGAATGTGAGAGGATCCTACACAACGTCAAACTATTTTTTTTTTATTTGCACCGGGTGTCCGAGTCTCTTTGAGCCCCGACTAATCCCGGGGGTGCACAGGCCCTCGGCAAGGAGTTTCCCGCAAGTGCACCACGGTTAATTCAGGTTTTACCCAGTCCGATGGCCCTCAGAAATTGTTTTGCACCCCAAGTGGGGTTTTCGAACTTGAGACCTTGAAAGGGAGCAAACCCCAAGGCTCAAGTCAATTGCCAGCAGGCCAACCCCTGAGGGTTACACAACGTCAAACTATTATGCCAACTCAGCCCCGAGACTCACTCAAGATTGGAAAAGGGGACAACCTGCAATGCTGCCTCAGTATGGTAAAATCATGAACTATCCATCTAGATATTCAGTCTTATAAAATGAGTGTTTGAAACATGATCAGTCTCTTTTTATACTCTCCGTGCCTCTCTGCCCCACAAGGTAGGGGGTAAGGTCCGCGTACACACTACCTCCCCAGACTCCACTTGTGGGATTATCCGCGTACACACTACCTCCCCAGACTCCACTTGTGGGATTATACAGGGTATGTTGTTGTTGCCTATCTCTGTGATCCACTACTTTTAACTAAAGTGTACTGACTTTCCAATTCATTAGTCCTTCTATCCCATGATATCTGATTGTCTCTGCTTCAGACAAACTAGAGAAAGCGGCCTTTGACAAAGTATGTGTGTATTACTTCTTTAAATTTTACGTATTACTTATTTATATGGCAAATTTGAAACCTACCATTTTTTCCTATCTTTCAAATATCAACATTTATTTTCCCTTTTTTTACGTGCAGATTAAATATAAAGGAGGGTAAACTAATCCTTGAAAATTACAAACTTCACAAAATTGTTGATTCAAGTGGATTACATTTTTGTCCGAAGTGATTAAAATTGATTCTTCTTCTAGCAGTCTGTTCTTTTAGAGTCTGTTTGTAAATATTTTAGATAAGTTAACAATGAACATAAGATATTCTGAAAAGATAAATACATAAATAAACTAGCATTTTGCTCAATTGATTACCTACTCAACGGTTGAGTCCAAGAAGCATATTCCCTTGCTTTGGCAAGTAAGCAACATTAGGAGTCTTAGCCAAAGTCCCAGCAACTTCTCTAGAAGCTTCAATCCTCCTCAACTCAATCAAACCCATTCCAGCAGCTGCAGTAGCATCCGAAATCAGCTTGGCAGATTCGCTCTCTCCTTCAGCCCGAATAATTGCCGCTCTCCTCTCTTGCTCAGCTTTCATCACCACAAATTTCGACCTCTCAGCCTCCTGCTGAGCTACCTGTTTCTGCTCCACAGCTTTCGAAAACTCAGCTCCATAAGATAAGTGTGTGATCGCCACATCATCAAGCACAATATTGAAATCCTTGGCACGTTTAATCAAACTCTCCCGTACAAGTGCAGAGACCTGTGGACGATCCGTAAGGAGCTGATCAGCGTTAAATTGAGCCACAACAGCTTTGAGCACCTCATTACCAATAGAAGGAAGGACTTTTTCGTCATATTCAGTACCTAGGTTTTTGAAAATGTAGGGAAGGCGTGATATTTCTGGTCTAGAAAGAATACGTAGCGTGAGATTAACCATTTGTAGATCCTTTGTACCGGAGACTGAGGAGAAAACGTGAGGCCTGGTACGGATATCGAATATGAAGGGCTTCTGAAGCCATGGGATCAAGAAATGAGTGCCTTCACCAACGGTTTTTTCAAGGACACCATTGAAACGGTCGAAGAGAACGGCGCGTTGACCGCCGTCGACGGTGTAAAGGGAGGAATTGACAAGTGCGCCGCCGAGGCCGAGAGTGAAAGCGGCACGGGCTATGTTGGTGAGGAAGGAAACAGCAGCTTGGCTACCCATTGTTGTGAATGTAGAAACAGAGAGACTGAGATTTTAGATTAGGGCTTAAGAGAAAAGAATGGAGGGTTTTAGAGCAGAGAGTTTGGATTGCTGTGCAAGTTTAACATTTTGGAATAATTTATTTTTTTCTATTTACAAAATTAGATTAATATTTACTATCATATGTAGCACTATTTTAGTACCATATATCAAAATATAAAAGGGAAAAATTACGTGGTTAAGTAAACTTATACTATTGAGTTAGTCATCATAGCTATAGTTTTTTCATAATTATCACTCGCGACTAGCATTAACCATTAATTATGTGGGCTGACTTCAAATTTATATAATTAATCACGTTTGTACAATTTGTATAATTCGCAACTAACAATTCTTCATTTGATTTGTATTTTGTATACAATGGTTTGTATTTGTATATGACGATGATTTCCTTTGATTTTTCAGTTTTATCACCATTTACATTCAATCTTTTTTTTGTATAACCTTTTAAAGTTTGTATAAACGTGTAGTTTTCAGATTTTGTATAATATAATTTATATAATGTAATTTGTATAATATATTGTAAAACTGTTTAAAGTTCATATGTTTATGTTTGTATCAATTCATTATTTCGAGTTTTGTCATATTTGTATAATTACAGACTTTGTATTGCTCAATTATACAAACGTACGCGAATTATACAAACGAGATGTGAATTATACAAATTGTTGTCATCTCGCTCGCCTCTCTCCTCCCTCTCCCAATCTCGCTCGTCGGATATACAAATACATATGTATACCAATTACTATATACAATTATTTTGACAGATATACATATATAATTCACCTCTTTCTCACTCTCTGCCCTCTCTCGCTCGCCTCTCTCCTCTCTCTCCCAATCTCACTGGCCAATCTCCTCCCTATAACATGTGGCTACGACTCGTAATTAGCAAACTATAATTATGGAGCATAATTAAGCTATTTTTGAGTGGTTATATGCGAAAGTTCCCTCATATAAGATAACACTAGTTTTCAATCAAAATGTAAAAAAACCCGACTTTGAATTTCGCTCATAATTTTATGTATATGATTATATAAATTTAATAGGAAGTTAAGGTTATTTTATTAAACTAAGTCATTATTTAAATCAATTCATCAAAGTAGTACGTTTTTAATTTTTTTACAGAACTAGTATTCCCTCTGGTTTTTTTTATATGCTATCCTTACTATAAATAGTTGGTTTGTAATAATTGTCATTTCATAAAATCAATTTATAATTAATTACAATATTCTTCATAATCCTTGATAGTTAATTAGTCTTGAATATAAATATTTGACCAGCCTAGAAAAACTAATAAGTAATTAATGTTCATTGTAATTACAGCATACATTGATTAATTACTCTTACCATTGCACTACTTTATAAAATCTTATTTTGAAAAAGAAATGTCAACAAACAAATTAAAAATAAAAGACGAAGAAAAGAAAAATTGAAAGTTGAAGCTTCAACAAATTTTATCAAGGAAGATGACACTTCAAAAGGTTTAAAAGGAAGTAAAAATAGAAGACTCAACCAAAATATGTGAAGGCCAATTTGAGAAAAATCAAGATCCAAATAAAGGAGTTTTGCACAGTCTCGACTTGAATATATTTTCAGATTAAGGAGAAAAAGTATACAAAGATGAAGAATTACAACAACATTTAATACTATGCTAGAAAAATTACTCCCAAATTTTTATTAAGTCTGTATCTTTTTTTTCTTGTGATAGATAAAGAAAAAGTAGCTCATAAACTAAAATCTAGCATATTTATCATTTATTGAAAAGTTGACTTTAAAAAAAAACATAAAAAATAAGGATAGAATTGTAAACTTACTTAGTTTCTTAACGCAAGTGAAATCTAAAAAGGTGACATATAAAGAGGAACAAAGGGAGTATAAATGTATTTCTCAGAAATGTTTTTAGGGCATATTTTATTTTTAAAAGTTGAGTTGTGTGAAATATTGTGGTTAATGGCGTTAAGTTAAAAAAAAGGTTACTATAAGTAACGTTTTTAGTCCAATACGGTGATGTGAGTTACGTTTTTTAATTTTTTTACAAAACTAGTATAAACTTATTTCTCAATAACGTTTTAGGGCATAAAATATTGTGGTTGGCGGCGTTAAGTTAAGAAACGTTACTGTGAGTAATATTTTTAGCTTAATATGTTACTGTGAGTAACGCTTTATAATATGTCACTCTGAGGTACGTTTTCCACCTAAAATGTTACTCACAACAACGTTTCTTGAGAATCCAATCACGAGTCATCTAATCCTGCAAATTTAAAACATTACTCACTGAAACATTTTAATTACACCTAAAATGTTACTCATAGTAACGTTTCTTAAGAATCCTACCTTAAAAACACGATTGTGAGTTATGACACTCTGTTAAAGTCATATTCCTCCATTTTCCAAATTGACATATGATTATAAAATAAATCTTGTTGTAAGAAATGTTCTGCATATTCCAACAATATTCAGCAAAGTTTATACTTGTGTGGCCCATTGTTGAAATAATATTCACAAAACTTCATTATGTTTGAATTAAATAAGTCAAGTCAATATATAATATTATGTTAAGTTCTTACTATAGCTTTAAAATTATTCTTTTTGATTTATTAATATTAATAAAAAAAGATATCTTATTTTTAATTATGTGTAGGATAAAAATGGCAAACTTTGAACATAATGTTATGATTGTTTTGTATTGGGTGGCAAAATAATTACTGATATGAACGGATTCAGTTATTTTGAATGTGCTAGAACAATTATTAGCATGTCTACCTCAACTTATTATGTTATATTGGTTAGATTGTTGCATGAGAAAATGAGAATAATTAGTGAAAATATTCAAATGAATATTTCTGAAAAATATTATTGTTCAACTTAAGGTAATGATACAAAGTTCATTAAAGAAAGACTTACAAAAATATTTCTTGCAATTCAAGGGACTGGACTAAGATCCACATGAAATCTCAACCAATATAGAATATTTTGCGTAATTTACTTTCTTGTTTTATTGTTTATTTACTTATTCAATTGTTAAACAGCCGACTCATTAATTGTCTTATAAATAAACATAGAATAAAAAAGGTTTTCAATTTACCATGTCTCCCTCCTGCACTTTCAATTTTTTAGGCGAAGGTTTAAAAATAAGATTTTGTGGTTTTCTTCTTCCTAGTTTATCTTTAATTGAGGATTTATAAATGTCTGAATCTTCAGACAATATTTCTAACATATAGATTGAGAAAATATGTATTGTTTCATGTTAGCTATACAAACTAAATTTTAATTGTGATAAATTTGATTTCAAAGTTTGAGAATCATACTTCAACTTGCAATTATTCAGATGAGAATTCATGGTAAATAAACATTTTAAACATATAGTGTTTTTGCTTGTAAAACAGTGGCAGGTTAGTATTGATAGGCTGAATGGGTTTAAATGGGTGGACATTTTAATTCATATTTGGGTTATGTAAAATTCAATAGGAGAATATCATGATGTCACTAGACTTGTTTGTTTTAGGGGTAAATATGAGCCAAAAAAAATAAGGATAGGGGCATCGATGGACCAACAGGTTAATTGAGGATAATGATAATCCAAATTAAATAAATTTGGTATTTTTTGCCCTTTTTCATAATAAGAATACGTATTTTATTTGCATAGGTGGAGAAATAACCAAAAAAAAAAAGGGCATAATACATAAATATGATCTTTAACTTGGCGTCAGCTAGTAACTATGACTTTTAATTTTGGGTGTGCACAAGTAGACACTTAAACTTGTATAAAATTGAACAAATTGACACATTCGTCCTATATTGCACCCTACGTATATTATGTCATGTAAGACACATGTGCCTACTTGTTCAATTTTATACATATTTAAGTGCTACTTGTGCTTACTCAAAATTGGAAGGCATAGTTGTCCGTTGAAACTAAGCTAAAGATGATGTTTATATATTATGCCAAAAAAGAAAAAGAAAAACTTACAGTGACTGAATCAAAATAAGACAACTCAAAGTCTAACTAACTAACTGGATAGAAACTTCTTGAATTTATATTGAAAAGTATCACAATAATTAAATTGTCTGATATGGATACTCACCAACTAAAAGTATACATTAATATCCAAGATTCTTTCCTATGTACCAAATACACCTAACAAAGCAAAGTCTACAGACTACATCCTTCTACCATCCACAATAAATATATATAAGTCTAGCTAATTTGTTTCACCCCTTTCTAATGTATGGTCAAACAAAATCATACAAGCCTTTAATTCATTAAATTGATCGATCAGCGCAGGACTTAATTAAATTCATACCATAGATGTCTAATTTGTATTCCCCTCAAATTGATCCCTCGACTCTAAGCACCATTGGTCATTGAATTTCCAGTTTGGTTGGACCGTTGTGCATTTTAGAACTAGCTACAATATAGTCTACTACACATCCTGACTTAACTCTCTTACATCATCAACAGATCCATCAAATACCCTCCACCCATAACTAGAGTGTCCGAGTTCGAATCATAGAGTGAATTTTTTTTAAGGGAGGATCTGAATTAGTCGGATGATTTCAAAAAGAAAAATATATAAACTATTTGCAGACTATTAACTAGAGTTCTTGCGTTCTAACTTCTAACCATGGAATGTAGAAATTTTGGCAGGGAAGATAATGGATCTTATACTAGGCAAATTTCGATTAGTTGGATAGTAAATTTCAAATATCAAATGTTTTTTTTTAAATAAAATAATTAATCTCACTTAACAATGTTAAGTGTACTGTATAGATCAAAAAGAAGGGGGACGTGTTGCCTTTCCTCCATATACAAGGCTGAGAAATCCCTTATATTATTACAAAAAAAAAGGAATTAGTGTGTGTTCTATACACCACACAACACCTTCCTTATGGCAAAAAAGTTGGCCTTTTAGAAGGTAACGAGAGGTTCACTCGAATCCCCTTAGTAAAACAATTACACAATATATATAAGATTTTTTTGAATTTTATAAATATATATATAAAACTTTAACCTCCTTAACATAAGATTAAAGGTTGACTTGTGATTGAGATCAGATTTCAAAATTCCCCTTGAGGTTCTACGTTCAAGTCTCGTCAATACATTTTTATTTTCCGAAACTTCATCATTGGACATTTAGAAGTTCAAGTCTCAACAATACGTTTTTATTTTCCAAACCCCTATCATCATGGGACACTGATCAATTCAAAAACAAAAACATACATATTTTTATTTTCCGAACCCCATCATCACTTCAACATTCAATTCAAAAAGAAAAACGTACAAACTGTTTGCAGTATATATATATATGGTGGTCGAATCCATTAGTAGAAAACATAAAAGAGCAAAAAGACTAGAAAATAATCAAATTCACTCTAAATTAACACATACTCCAACCAGCAATGCTCTCAGCCAAGACTAACTTATCAATGGTAACTCTTTCACCAAACCTATACGAAAACCTCAAAACACCTTGAGATTGAGCGCAACCCTTATGTACAGGACAAGTCATGATAGCACTACCTCCACTAGCATACGAATACTCGTATAGCTCCTTCATAGACATATGAACTTCACCGATATATCGATCTCCGAGCTTCCTCTTGCAGTATAACTTAATCACTAACATGTCATTTGGATACTGAATCATCCACTCTGAGATTGTATACTTCATACTAAAGTTCCATGCCGGATTTATCTCCCCATGCTTGTCCGTTGGGGACCGTTTTTCGGTGTTAGGGTTGCTACCTATGGAAACCCTAGCATGAACTTTCATCTTGAATAGCTTACGAACATCTTCAAGATCACTTGCTGATATTAGAGTTATTTCAAATTTTCTACAATCCATTTGTATATTTATTTTTTTTGTGTGTTTTTGAGTTAGCTAGTTGTGTGTGCACATAAATTTATATTATATTTAAAATATGTGCTACTATGAGTATTATGTGGGGTATGTGGACAGAGGAGACTTTGTTTGTTCGATATAGAAGACTTTTACTTTAGAGGAAAAAACCAAGAAATGGGGATAGTCTTCTCTATTGTTTGGACTTTTATTTTGTTTAGTACTCCCCCTCGGTCCCAATTTATGTGACACATTTCGTTTTTTGAGAATTAAATAATTTAAGTTTAACTGAAAATTTGCTCATAAAATCTTCAAATTTTTCAAAGTGAAATTTATATATTTGTAAATTACATAAAAAATATTATAAGTCACAATAATTGATAATTCAAAATATTTAAAAGATATATGAAAATTTTACGGTCAAAGATAGAATTGTTTGAATCTTAAAATTCGAAATGTGTCACATAAATTGAGACACAAAAAGTATATAAGTTTATGTTATCCACCTGTGGGTTTGGAATTTGGATAATTAAATAAAACAAGAGGGGAATTAAAGAAGAGGGTAGTGAGTGAGTTGTAGACTTTGTCTTATACTTATCGTTCATTTTTATTTAATCGATTATATTAAAATAGATGTTAGGAGTATTATTTTATAGTACCTATTTTATTTTATTGTTAAGTAACTTTAAATGAGTGGTACTTTATAATAATTAGGAGTGATATGATAAAAAGATACTGGTAATTTTAGTTTTCATATTATTATCTTATTTTAATTTTGATCCTCGTGTTATTAGACAAAACACGTTTGACATTTAATTAAATAGAATATATAGTTTTAATACTTATACCTAACTATGAATTATTAACACCGTTAGCTTTTGATTTTCTTACTACAGGAAAGAAAGAAGGGATAAATACTTAATATAATCCATACAATTGTATATATATTACGTAGTATATTGTTTTGAATAAATTTTATTGTCTTTGATGATTAGGGATAAAAAAGAGTATTAACTAGAGGCGTGTCAAAGTGAAGATGAATAAACTGTTTGGCAGATTTTGATTTTTTAAACCTTATTTAATGTAAAATGCGTTGAAGATAGTGTATTCTTATTTAAAATAAAATAAAATAATAGAGAGTAAAAAGTTGAGAACGTAATTTTTTATTTACCTTGTCATCCTTGTAAGAAAGTGACAAATGATTTCAGATAATACAATTCATTATCCTTTCTTCACTTTAATAAACTTATTTACTGTATTAAAAAGATTTATCTTTACTTGTCTAGTTAAAAAATTTAATAGACGATTTATCATTTTATACTTATGTTACCATTATTTTAAGTAGTATTCATAACTCAACATTTAAATAACTTAATAATTAGAAATGATATAGTAAAATTATTATTTTTATTTCTATTTTTTAAAAGGTGTGTCAAATAAAAAAAACAAATAAATATGTAGGGGAGGGAGGGAGTAGGAGAATTAATTTAAGATTGATAAAGAAATTACTAATTAATACAATAGAAGATAAGAATAGTGTAATAACTTATTAATAGTGGCCTAGCTATATAAACAAAAAAATATGCAGTTCAACCCTCTTATCAAGGATGGTGAATGATTAAGAAGAAATTCTTAAGATGGATGAATTGTCATAAGATGCAGACAACTATTAATAAAATATGTTATCAGAATAAGAAGTTGAAATGAACATTTCAAATATTAAAATACAACTATATACTATTTATTTTTTCTCACCCGGTGTTCGGTATCCATACATTGGAGCCTGATTAAATTCGAATTCGCGCCGGGAAGTCCTTGGAGGGTAAAGCACTCCCTAACAGTAACAAAGACAACTCCGTACCTAAGGAGGCTCGAACCCGAAACCTTTTGGTTAAGACTAAAGGGGTACTTACCACTCCACCACAATCCTTGTTGGTCACTATATATTTATTATATAATTACAAGTGAATTACCTTACTCTAGTCCATGAATTTAATATAGAAATTAGAATTGTATTTTTCCACAGTAGAAACTTCCATGTGGCATTAATTACTTGTGAGAATGGGAAAGATTATTGTAGGACTACTACTGAGTCTATTACGAATCCGTCCAAAGTCAAGTTAGTTGAATAGTAAAACAAACCTTTGCTTCTCTTTCAAAAGGTCTTTTTTGTCAAGAATTCATTTTTTATATATTAATGGTATAAACAAAATTTACGCAATCAAAGTTGAAAAAGAAGAAAGAAATCTAAGGAGTAGATGATACACATAGTCGTTTGGTGTGAGGTGTAAGGTATAATAATCTCGATTGGGATAAAATACAGAACTATTTTAAACTGCATTTAGCTGGAGGTATTAGGTAGTCCTTAAATTATTTATCCCGCTATTTATACCATAGTGATGGAAATGGTGAAATAATTTATTCCAAAATAATTAATTCTGAAATAACCAGTTCCCAACCAAACGAGTGTATATATTAATACTAGATAATGTATCCCGGCCCAATAATATAAATGGTATGTTTTGGGGCTAATAACCAAGTTTTTGAAGCGATTGTTTGCGTGGATAAAAGAATAAGTATTTTTATCACAAACCTGTATTTTCTTTGACGCTATTTAAGGCACAATAAGACTACACACATACAACATTTTTGAAATATTTTATGTTGTCAATTATCATGATTTATAGTATTTTTACGATAGATTCACTTCAAGAATCAATGGAATTTTTTGTATTTTTTT